TGACATATAAGATTCTCTTTTCAATAAATATTCCTTGAAAAACAAATATCCAAAAGTGTAGATTCTTATCAAGAATAACACTTCATATAATTGGACTTGGTCTTTGTTTTATCCAAAACATCACATCTACCAATTTCAAATGTGCATGAGCAAGATCCATTTCTTGCTCCACATTTCATGATGTGTTCTAAACCTACTTAAAATATGTAATCCAATGTACAATCTTGGAGTATGACTCTAGGAATTGATTTTGGAATGAAGTATTATTTATTTTCTTGATTTAACCATTTCAACAATTTGCGATTCCTCTTCTTGGTCACACAAATGAACCAATGTGTCCTTAGTTGATCAATTGTGATATGGTTTTCAGGATCATTAAGATGATCATAAAACACAATACTAAAGTACTCTGCTTTCCTTTCATATTGGAGAAACTTTTATCTTTCTGATTAATTGATTCTTCTTATGCGTTCTGCTATACATTGAAATATTTTCAATGATTCATAACTACACTTAGTCTTGTAAGCATAATTATATTCACAAAACTCTTAGTAAATTATGACGAATAGTCTTATTGTTCTTTGTGATGGACCTGATTAGTGCACGACAATGTGTACTAGATCCCCTAGTTCTTCGCTTGACTTACATCTATGTGTGAACAAGGAATTAGTCTTACTTTCCCAAAAATGAAAAAAAAACTATCATTCATCAAACAATACTAGTTACACGATCCCAAATTTCTGTCCAACTGAAAACTTGGGTGATGAGAATCTTTTCTTATTTGGTAAATTTAGACACTACTACAAACGAAAGAATCAAATCCATATTGCTAAAAAAATACAACCATCAATTTTTACAAATGTCATTGGAGGGAAATATAAAATAAGATAAAATAAAAAAATTCTTTATTTATAAAATGCGGAAATTTTTTCCTTACAATGCAAGTACATATGAAAATTGTGTTTCTAAATATTCCTAAGCAATGTATCATAACTCCCAACTAGCAGCTCAAAAATCCGATCATCGAACCATGCAATCGAAATCCATCCCTTTGCGATCAGACTCAACATGCTTTTCCTTTAAGATTCCTTTCATCGGTCCTACAAAACATCAAAATGTGATCTTATCACATCATGTATTAACAATCTACAAGTAGAAACTTAATAGAGTTAGACAGTGGACTTACCTAAAGCAAAGTCAAACACATAGACTTTACCATCATTGTGATCCTTTAGGTGGATACGACAGCTTCACATCCAATGCCCCTTCTATTGGCAATAGAAACAAACAGAATCTATCAGAATGGCACACAGGACAATCTCAGACTTAGGCTTTTTCTTTACTATTTGGTCATACGGTTCGACCATGGTTGATCCCATTCCATTGGGAAGAGAAGACTTTTTTGGACTTTCAATGTTGTCATTGTTAATGTCCATGGAAGTTTCGGAAGTAGATATTCCAATCAAATTTTCTTTACTAGTGTGCCAAATCTTTTCTGATTCAGCAGCAATTAGCAAATAGGTAAAATCAATAAGGGGCATGTTGTGGTCTGTCATATACTAATCTTTAATGAACTCCCTATATGACTCAGAAAGTGATTGAAGAACCAAGTCAATAACCAACTTCCTCGATATAACGACTCCTAACATTCTGGGCCTATTAATGTGTGACTTCATCTCCCATACATGTGCACACACATACCTTCCATCTTGGTGTTTGCTTGCCAATAGGGTTTGAGTGACCTTGAACTTTCCAAGTCGATGGACATGTGGTTCAGGGAGAATTATTGGAGGAGGTGGAGGAAGTGAAGTATGATTTCTTGGAACATCAACATCATGAGGAAAGATTTTTCCAAAGGATTTGGGAAGACCATGGTTGTCAAAACTAGACATCTACAAATGAGAAATTCAAGTTTAGTTAATTTAAGTCCTTAATACAACACCCAAATGAAATATTAAGGCTAGGAACCGACACAATAATTTACAATTTGGAAGAGGGATGTCGTAATCCAATTGCAAACTATTTGTCAGTAGGTAAATGATTATTTACCAATTCCACCACGAAAACGAATTTTTAAACGAATTAAGTTTTAAATGAAACTCCTAGATCTTTTGAGATTCATTGAACTTTTCAATGGCATGTTTAATCTCGATTATGCCCTTCAAGTTTGTGACTGGGATATCGAGGATCACAAACAAGGTGTGAATAACCATGCAAATTAGCTTGGTACTCTCGATGTCATTTATCACTTGATCAATGTACCGGTTAACCGCACACGCTCCATTGATCAATGATAATTTACGAGAAAACCATTTCCATCCTTCATTAGTCCATATTAGTGTGCCGGTTAACCACACACACTCCACTAGTTGACCAATAAAGTGCAATGTGCAATTTCATGGATTAGCATCAAATTCACATTTTTCCTAAGTAACTATGATGGGGAATTTATAAAGCATTTAATTACTTGGTATTTCATCATACTATTAATGGAAGTTTGTGTCCTATCCTACCCATTTGGCTAACGACCCTCCACTGGTCAAGGGTGCAGTAGGTAAGGGTGGATACCTAATGACGATCATTTTATAGGCCGCTTCCTTAAACACCCCTTATATACCAGCTTCGTGAATGAGGCCTACTAACAGTAATACTGACCTTTTACTTATACATATATAATATATTAAACTTTCAATTTTATATAATATAAGGGTGTATTTTAACATTTAAAATACTAGATGGTTTAAACTATTAATAAATTAGACTTTTAATTTAATTAAACTTAAACCATATCATTATGGATTTCTTAACTATCTTTTAATTAAACAATTTAATTAAGTTAATAAAGTCTATAAGGTGTAATTTGAAATATTCAAAACATCAAGGTTCAAAATATAAAAATTTAAAATTAAAACTATTTAATTAATTTTTTTAAGTTATGAAACCAAGAGTTGCACATTTTGAAATCTTTTCAAATTTCTAGATTTTTTCGAATTCAATGTTTTATAAAAGAGACTTTTCAAATTCCAAAACTTGAGGGCAAGTTTTGTAACTATTCAAACCTTTCGACTCCAAAACTTTATGGCAAGTTTTGTAACACCTTTTAAAAAAAACACTTTTGAGTTCCAAAACTTGAAGACAAGTTTTATAAATCTTCAAAACATTTAGATCAATTTTAAACCAATAAAATAATCATTTTTGTTTTATCTTTTACCAATTTGACCTAATGCAACTATTGTAGCAAGATAATTTCAAATCAAAAATTTACAAATAATTAGCTTTATCATAAAAACTAATAATCATCTTAAAATTTTGAGAATTATCTTTTAATTTACAAAACAGTTTGTGGTAATGATCCTAATCCAATTCTAGCAAAATAAAACCTGAAAATCTGCCAACAGACTGTCAAACTCGTCGAGCCAGGTAATGGACTCGTCAAGTTTATCATGAACCCATCGAGTTCATGTTGGTAGAAGGTAGAATTCCATTTTGTTAAGCTTTGAACAATTAACCAATGCATCTATATAATAGAAAACGCCCATGGCTCTGATATCACTGTTGGGTTTTATGCACTATAACACTCCTATGTTGCACATACAACCCTAATGCTTTGGATCTAAGTTAGAAAAATAACTCTTAGTTGTAGCATGTAGAATTTGGCCTTTAAGAGCTTTGCACATCAAGTATGATGCCTCAAATGCTTCACAAAACACCACCAACAATTGGAGGACTTGAGGGAGAGGTTAGGAACACCCTCAAATCGTCTATACTCTTGCTATATTACTTGTGCATTTGATTTTGGGGTCTATGGGGTTACATATATAGTGTTTGAATTCCAAGAGTAATATGTAACCCTAATTCTTACACTTAGGCTTATGATCCATAACTCATATGGACTAATTCTTCATGGACCTCTCACATAAACTTAGCCCATCATGGATCAATAGCCCAAACAATATGTGTAACTAATTTACATAATCAGTCTCCGGTGATTTATTTAGTCACTTTTGATCACTAAATTAATTCTTGATCAATACTAATTAAATAATATGATTTCTAAATTAATATATAATACTTATGCTATATTAATAAACCACAATTAACCGCTTTCTCAAATATACATCCTATTAGATTGTTCTGGTGAATGCATCCCAAATGGATCATGCTACTCACGGATCAAGTACATACCAATTATAATTATGGGCTGAGACACCTATCCCAACAAGTTGTTTACAATATAATCAAAATTAATGCTATAAATAGTAACAAACTAAGTACCTCTGTGTAGATATTGTAACTCATCATTAAGTTGAATTTCATAATTTTTGGAGCGTAAAGAATAGGGCTTTTTTAAAGTTGTCCATACTTTAGCAGCACTCTTGCACCCTAAAGTTTCAGCCATAGATTCTTCATCTAATGAAGAGTGAAGAAGGTTGTACAAGTGACGATCTTGAGAAAGCCAATCCTTATGTACTTTTGAATAGCTACATCAGAAGAGGAAGATGGCCACATGGGCAAAGTACCATCAAGATAACCAAACAAATCTTGAGAACTACGAAAAGTTTCCACTTGATTTTGCTATAGCAAGTAGTTTGCAAAGGTAAGTTTGATAGTGATAATATGAATGAGGGTAGCATAGGGGAGAGAGATGTTATATTCAACCATGGTGATGAGAGGCGCAACTCCTAGGGTTAGAGATTTTTTAAGAAGAATACGTAAGGGAGATTAAATCAGATACCATGTGATAATGGGAAAATATCACACATATTGGGTCTTGACATTAAAATGGATATATATATATATATATATATATATATATATATATATATATATTATATATATATTACATGGGTACAACTATATTATAGAGATCCCTAAACTACAATAAGAAATAAAATAATATTGTGGGCTAGGCATGTGCAGAAGATGGGCTAACGCAAACAATTTAGTTAAATTGATTGAAAAAGAAAACATGAAATGTTATAGACTAACTTCTAAACTTATCAATTTGGTTCATGAACTGACGACATATTCTTGTAAATTTCAACAAGCCATTTGTTTTGTAACTCATTGTTGGAACTAGAAATCTTGGATGATCGATGAGACTTTGAAGCATCTATCCCACTTTTCTTAGAGTCATTAATGCAGTTAAACGATTTCTTGATCTTAGAAAACCTGGCATGGTTGTCCTCTCCAAGATCGACAGTCCTCATGCTCCTCCCACCATTAAACAATGTGTGTTGTTCTCCTCCACATTCTATTTGCATCAACAAAGCTTGAAACACTTTTTGAAATGCTTCTGGCAAGACTTCTTGTAAAAATTTCCATATCTTTGGTCTCTTGAAGTTTTTGTTGTGTGTATTTAGGGCACTTGTATGGATGTTGTGATGAGATAAATGGTTTTGAAGTGTTTTATACATAGTTAGACATGTCGTATGTGACTCAAGATGTCTACTAAAATAAGTTTACAGTTTTTAGACCGGTCGGTGCACCCACTACCGCACACTACAATTGTTGTTTTCACGTTGTAGTGTGCGGTGAACATAGGACCAACCCCCGTTTACCGCAACCTAAACCTTACCGCGTGTGATGACCTTACCGCACCATTTTTCTTTCTTTTTGAGCGTTAGAGTTTGTGTATGTGTGTGTTATGTGAGTGGTAAGATGTAAGATGAAAGAAAAAATGATGTGGCAATGACGTGACAATGTAATAGTACGGTGAGTGAGTATTACATCTTATGGCCTTATATGTTTGACCAACTTTAATCCGCTGTATTATCAAGTCAACAAATTCAATTTCTTAAACAATTATAGAGGAATGTGATGTTTTCTTTTGTCTTTTTTATTTTTTTTAAAATAAAAATGATTGAACTTTTATATTTTTTACGATTCTTTTTATTCAATTAAAATAAAGTATATAAAAAGCAAACAACATTATTATAAATAGAAGAATAAAAAATAAGCGAAAAAATTCGGTTGTGTTGGGATAAATTCAGTTTGCTTTTGTCACCTATAATATATATTTTACACGTTGATTATCAATAAAACACCATAGATTTATCAATTATTACAAAAATATTTTTTCCCTAATGAAAATATGAATAGTTCGATAAAAGAAACAATTTTGTAAAAATCCATCAATAATAATGAAAATTTTATTGCGTCATTAATTATAGTTGCTGTCTATTTTCAACCAGCTTTTCTGTTTACCAAAGCAAGCGGCCATCACGAAGCCTCATTCTTCTAGAAAAGTCACCATGACTTACATATGTTCTCTCTAGCCATCCATATGTTTAGATAGAAAGTTGAAATCACGAACGATGAAACTGGTATCCACTTATGTTCTCATATACATTTTGCGAGACATTTATAAAGTTACAAATTTACCTCAACAATATTTTCATCGCAATTTCTATAATAATATAATTTAGTTTTTGAAAAAAATAACAATCATATATTTATAATTAGGAAACGTTTTAATGTTATCTTTAAAAAATTTAAAACACCAAAACTTAATTCTGTTCTTATTAGGACAAAATGATTAAATTTAACTGAAAACCAAAAAATACACCCAAACAAAACAAACAAGACTCTCAAAAACGTCAAATACGAAATATTAGTTTGTGAATAAACATGAAAATATTAATTTGTAAATTTCATTTCTTTTTTCTTCAATAACCCTCAAACATCATTTAGCATTAATAACAATCATTTCAATGTCTTTTATGTCTGATTGATTATTATTTGAATAAAACTGATTTGACAAATTGCAAAATATTGATCGGACTATTTGGTTTGAGTATTCGGATTTTTGAATTGGATCTTAGCAAAATGGAATTCTTATTTTGGATTTCGAATTGGTTTTGGTTTATAAATTAAAAACTGAATAGTCCAAGAAACCGAATAAAATTTATTATTTTGTGATTTTTAAAATATATCTTTAATTATTTGTAAATTTACTAAATTATTTTTTTAGTAAATTACGAATTTTCAACTAATATAATATTTTAGTATGCAGTGCTTATCAAAAGTTTTTTTTGTCTATAAAATAGTAAACTATGATATATTTTTGGTAGTTGTTTATCTTTCATATTTTTTGGTAGTATAAATAGTATGTCATATGTATCAGAAAGTTAGTGATATCATCACAAGTATTGAAATCAAAGTTATTTACACTTTTATGTTTTTGTTTACTTCATTATTTATCTTTTTATTTGATCATATTTCATAATACGTTATCAACACAACTCTACCATAAACCTCCAACTTCTTGTCGTTCTTGTGATCGTCATATATATATATATATATATATATATATATATATATATATATATATATATATATATATATATATATATATATATATATATTAAATTCACATGTATAATGCTCACAAGTAATTTTATGAAACTTCTTAACTAATAATCACCTAACATACAACTCTTTATTTTTATTAGTACTTTCACCATGACAAACCTTAACAAACCTGAGTTTATGGCTCTTGACATTAGTGTAAAGATTTATTTATCATGGATCCTTGATGTTGAAATCCACCTTGATGCTATGGGTCTTGGAAACACCAAAAAACATGTAAATCCTTTAAATGAAGCATCACATCAAGAAAGCGCAAAGACAATGATTTTCCTTCACCACCATCTCGATGAATGATTGAAAGTTGAATACCTCACTGTCAAAGACCCAACTGATCTTTGGAATAATCTCATAGAGAGGTATGATCATCAAAAACCAGTGATACTTCCTAGAGCTCGTTTTGATTGGTTACACCTTTAGCTATAAGATTTTAAATATGTGAGTGAGTATAATTCAACCATGTTCAATTTTACTTCCAAACTAAAATTATGTGGTGAGACTATAACCAATGAAGACATGTTATAGAGATCTTTCTCTACTTTTCAAGCCACTAACATGCTCTTGCACCAACAATATCGTGAGAAAGATTTTAGAAAATATTTTGAATTAATCTTATATTTTATTATGGTTTAATGAGCTCTTAATGAAAATTTTCCAATCACATTCGACCGGTTCTAGGCCATTCCCTAAAGGGAATGCAACATCATCTAATCATAATGGTTGTAGGTCTAACTGTAGTCATGGTCGAGGTCGTGGGTGTGGTTGAGGTCGTTAGAATTATTGTACCAACAATAACAAGAATATAAGCAACCACCTGAAGTGGGAAATAACAAAAACTCACATCCTAATGATAAAAGTGGTCCGGGAAAAAAATGTTGAAAATTTTTGTCACTGATGTGGAATGACTAGTCATTAGTCTCATACATGTCGAACTCCAAAAGCATTCAAGCTTCTCTTAAATTCTAAAGAAGGAAAAAAAAAAAAAAGAGGAAACAAGGGATAATGATTACAATTTGTGATGCATTATTTCATTCAAATCACCATGAAATTTATGAAGTTTTAAGGATGTTCGGTCTAACGGATATCATGTTGAAGCAACTAATGATGGTAATAAAGAGTATCTCAATATTACAAAAATGATATCGGGTAAGAAAAGTATTTTGGAAAAATTAACGTATTGTCCTCCAAATTGTATTATTCAAAGATTAGAATGACGGTATACCATGTTATTCAAAATAAAAGGTATGATAACACATTCAAATTTTGACATGACCGGTTAGGCCATCCCAAATCAATTATGATGCGTAGAATAATTGAAACTTCAAGTGGTCATTCTTTGAAAAACTAGAAAAATTTTCAAGCTAATGAATTATCTTGTGTTCCATTCTCTTAAGGAAAATAAATTACCATCGATCATTGAACAAATTTTGGTACGAAAGTCTTAGTTTCTTAGAAAGAATTCAAGGGGATATATGTGGACCAATTCATCCACCATGTGGATCATTTAAATATTTTATGGTTTTAATTAATGTGTCTACTAGATGGTCACATATGTGCTTGTTGTCTAGTCGTAATCTCGCTTTTGCAAGATTACTTGCACAAATAATCCTCCTAAGCGCACATTTTCCTGATTACCCAATTAAGAAAATCTGCCTTGACAATGTCGCAGAATTTAAATCACAAAATTTTAGTGATTATTTCATGTCAATTGGGATAACTATTGAACATCTTGTCGTACATGCTCATACGTAATAAAAGCCTAGTTGATTCGTTAAGAAAACATCTTTAATTAACTACAAGACCATTACTAATGCATTCTAAACTTCCTAAATCGACATGGGGACATACAATTTTACATGCAACATCACTTATACGCATCGGGACAACTAGTTATCATAAGTTCTCCCCTATTCAAATGGTTTGCAGTCAGGAACCAAATGTTTCTCCTCTAAGCACGTTTGGATGTGCAATTTATATACCTATTTTTCCACCGCATAGTACAAAAATGGGTCATCAAAAAGAATCTGAATTTATGTTGGATATGAATCTCCATCTATAGTAAAATATTTAGAATCATCAACTGGAGATTTAATTAAAGCTAGATTCTACGATTATCATTTTGATGAATCGGCTTTTCGAACATTAAGCGGAGAAAGAAAGATCCTGGAAAATAAGATCTCTTGGAATGAATTATCACTTTCAGGTTTGGATCCTCGATTAAGTCAACGTGAACATGAAATGAAAAAGACAAAATCATTTACAAAATATAACAAATCAACTGCCAGATGTATTTACTAACCCTAAGAGAGTAACAAAGTCTCATGTACCAACTGTAAATGCTCTAATTAGAACTGATGTCCCACAAGGAAAAAATTATAACTGCAAATGAATCTAATTCATGTCTATAGCATGGAAGCATGGAAGACCATCCAATTCCAAAGATAAAAGTCAACGAAAGGTAACAAATAGAATTGATGGTCCAAAAGAGAAAAATATTCTCTTGAAAAGATTAGTGAAACTCTAGAATAGCCTAATGACATAGCAAAAGAAACTGAGGTACCTGGAAATTATCAAAATGAAGAGAACTCAATAAGTTATGTCGTTACAAGAATAAGATTGAACTGAAATATGACAGACATCGATGATAGTTTTTCATATCATGTTGAACTTGAGATTATGGAAGCAAATGAGGATCTTGAACTTGAATCTGCAGAGGAATGAAGGAATAGAAAAGATTGACCAAAATGGAAAGATGCAATAAATAAAGAGTTTAGTTCTCTTACTCAACGAAAAGTTTTTGGACTTATAGTCCATACACCAAATAAAGTATGGCTAGTGCGACACAAATAGGTATTTGTATGTAAAAGAAATGAGAAAAATGAATTTGTGAGATATAAAGCAAGTCTTATTCCATAATGTTTCACCCAAAGGCCCGGAACTGATTAAAAAGAAACATACTCACTTGAGGTTGATGCAATTACATTTTGTTCTCTAATATGTCTAGTAACACATGCAAAACTGGAGATGTATCTAATGGATGTAGTTATGA